TCAGATCTATAGCGGCGTTTTTTTGGAACAAACACCGCAAAAGGTCAGATCTATAGCGGCGTTTTTTAGAAGAAACACCGCAAAAGGTCAGATATATAGCGGCGTTTTTTGGAACAAACGTCGCAAAAGATCATATATATAGCAGCGTTTTTTGGAACAAACACCGCAAAAGGTCAGATCTATAGCGGTGTTTTTGGATACAAACGCCGCTAATTTCCTTTTTTTAGCTTAGATTAATTGATTTTGCATATTTCATTTATGCAATACATCACCTAAATTTAATATCATGTAGCTTTATCTAATTAAAAACAATCATAAATTTTAATTAAGACACACATTATGCAGAAAAATACTTAACAACAAAATAAATTAAAATTTATAACATTAATATAACAAAATACATACAAATGTATACATGTGTTACATATACTAGAAACAAAAAAGAAAACTAGTTGCATGTGTATTTTCACGCTTCCCACTTATAACTCTAATATACAATGGCAATCTTTCCCAAGTTCTCGCTATGTACACCCAATAATCAAATTGCACTTTGCAAGCACATCAGGAACTTCTTTACCATCCCAAGAATCAATTTTGAAAGATCCATTTTCCAAGTGCATAGTTCCAACTGTACTTAGTGAATTCTACTTGAGGCTCAACTACATACCTTGAGATCCACATTTGAGTGTGAACGCAAGACAGAACTAAGCTCAGGATCTGAACGGATATTGCGCCATTTTCCAGTACCATGTTTAAGAACTCCTGCCTTGAGTGCAGCTTCTTCTTCTGCTGCCCACCTGCAGATGCATAATAAGATATAAATATAAGCAACCAAAATAATGGAATTTATTGAGCATACATTCTACTTATATTTTTACTAATTAAAGGAAACTTCTAGGGTAGCTACCTCTTCACTTTGAAATCGACCCAATGTATTACGGAATAGAAACCTTCTTGGGCCTGCAATCAATACCTCGTATTAGTTTGCATTAAAGTAAAAGTTATTTTTCGTCCGTGTACAGTAACAATGATTTTTCTAGGTATCATCCAATAACATGTTCATTATGCTAAGTTAAGCGCGCTTAGCTGAATTTAAAATTATAATGTGGCTTCAGATTATTTACCTGGATGTAACTAGAACCAAATAAGGCACCATTTTCCATTTGAAACTATGACCTGAAGTCTTTACCCTTTACAAGGAAAAAAGTTAAAAAAAACAAAAGACTCATATTTCATGGCAGCAAGCCCAAGCCACCACATAAATTTTGTTTACAAGCACAAAAATAATGTTGAATAAACTCAAAAACAATCAGAATACCAGGTATGACACTTGCAATGACACAGAGAGAAATATACAAGGATGAAAGCCAATTAGGTAAGATATAATACAATTTAAGAGTGACCGGCCTTGTAATCCAAGTTGAACATGCCATGCGACATATGAGGCTCATTTGAGAGCTGGAATAGGAAACAAAAAACTATCAATCTGTTTACACAAGAAAAACATATACTCTGCAACTAAACAAGAAATACATAGAATGGGCAATTATCACCTGTACGCCTCTAAATGCCTTATATGTTTGTTGAACCATTTTTTCCTCATAACCCCCCACCCCACCCAATAAAGCAATTTTTATTCTTCAGAAAGCACAACTTAAGCTGACACAGCAGGCTAAAGCTACTGATAGAGAAATTACCTTACACAAGAAATTTCCAAAATGACAGGAAAGAACACAGTCAAAGAACTCCACTAGGAAAGCCTAAACCACCACAAAGCAAGAAAGTCAATAACTATGGAAAATACAGAGAGGATAACGTTACAAAAAATGTATTATATTCGATACGACAAGAAATTAATGTCATGCATAAAAGGAAGATGCATACTGAGGAGAACCCGAAAGCAAATGGATATATCCTTAACAACTGGGAAACACAATCAACCCACTGCAAAACAACCAACACAATTAGATCTCAAATTAATCAGTGAACTGAAATTATAATGATTAATTAACAATCAGAAAATAATATGATATTTATTATTTACATGTTTCATGAGAAATTGAAGCGTCCAAAGATTTTTAGTGAAAATACAAACCTTCCCTACTAGTTTGGAAAATTCCTTTAAACAAAAAAAATATGGAATTAAAAAAATCCATTCTGTATATAATTTTCAGCATATTTCATTAACCTTTTAACTGTTCTTTCATGTTATTTCTTGATAAAGGAAAATAAATTTTTTTTAAAACTAAAAGAAGGAATCTTCTACCAAATAATTATAATAATTTTCCCTTATAAAATCACAATTCCATTAGCTGTGAAAATTATCTACAATGAAAACAACTTCAGTGAGAAAATAACCAAAAATATCTCAACATGTGCACCTGCAAGAATATGGGGGGATAATTGTTCTGCGCATGAGATGAATTAGAAGCTTGAGGTGTGAATGATCCTGAAGATTGGTGTGCAGGAGAAGATGAAATACTTCCAGTAGAAGATTGTCTGGTTAAATAAAATGAAGTTCCAGACACACTTGGCAATCCAAATCGATATGCGAAAGGGTGACCAAATGCTAGCCAATCTTTTTCAACAAGTGCTTGTATTAAGATTAAAGCCTCACCGTGAGTTACATACATACATGAACTCCATCCAAAAAGGATATGAGAGAGAATAAAAACATCATGCATTGCTAAGAACAATAAATACCTTCAAGGGAACTAGGTTGAGTATAAACTGGCTTACATAAAAAGAATCTTAAAACATTCATAAATCTTAAAAAGAATCTTAAAACAAAGCTTAAAGGGGAATAAACATGAAATTGTGATGCTCTTAAGTCTTAACACATTCATAGGGATAAATACCTGAAAGTAGTTAACCGGCTTGATTTGAAAAAAGTATTTGTGAACTTCAACAAACGGTCAACTCTAAATAGATAATAATTATCGAATTAACAGATTATTTATTAAAAAAATAAAGGTTTTCAATGATTGAAAGCTTCATTTTTCATTTATTTCATCTGTGCCTGGCTTGAATCCTTTAACTTTACCCTGCTAAGATACTAAAACATAAACAACGCTGTGAATTGAAATAATAGTGTACATATAAACTGCTTAGTAGACATGAAAGTACAATAAATAAAAGACGCATGTAAGGTTTCAAACTAAACCTTAAGAATGAGAAACCCAATTCTGAATTTTCTTCTTACTTCGAAAAGAAACCTGACATGGACAATTTTAAAGCTAAAGTTCTCTCATTTTAATTGTTTTTACCTTGTAGGGAGGGTTTTTCTTGTTTACAGAGTTTGATTATTTTTTCCCTTCTCGGTTTCTCAGTAAACAAACAGGGGGTTAAGTAAAATAAGCTTACTTGAAAAGAGACTTGCAAGCTAACATTCGATTTTTTTTTTCTGGATCTGCTCCTCATTATCCTTTGAACTTCAAGTTTTCGATGGTTTTCGAGGATTATTGCTGCGAGATTTTAAAAATTAGCTTAGGTTGAAGATCAAAATGGCTGCGAGAGTGAGGGTAAAGCAGAAGAACAAATGCTGCAAACATTGGGTTTCAATTTCAAGAGAGAGATGCATCGATTAGGGGTTTATGTTTAACTTCTGGCGAGATATCAAAAATAGGTGAAATGGGAAAAATGAAAAAGGTTAAAAGGGGTTGGGATTTAAAAATTGTAAACTTGCGGCGTTTGTAAAACAAACGCCACTAAAACACGAGTCTATAGTGGCGTTTGCATAAAAACGCCACTAAAGTATGAGTCTCTAGCGGCGTTTGAATACAAACGCCACTAAAGTTTGAGTCTTTAGCGGCGTTTATATAAAAACCCACTAAGGTATGAATCTATAGCGGCGTTTGTAAACACAAACGCCACTAAATCATGAGTCTATAGCGGCGTTTGTATAAAAAGCCACTATAGGTAGTAGTCTATAGCGGCGTTTATATAAAAATGCCACTAAAGTACGATTCTATAGCGGCGTTTGTATAAAAATGCCACTAAAGTACAATCTTTAGCGGCGCTTTTATAGAAACGCCACTAAAGTATAGTATTTAGCGGCGTTTTATAGAAACACCGCTAAAGTATGAGTCTTTAGCCGCGTTTGTTCTAAAAACGCCGCTATAAACCCATTTTGCTGTGACATGCTTAAATGCAATGCATATTTTAATGAACAACATACTTATTAAATGCAATGAATGTCAAGCGACTAATAAAACTCATGCAAATTCATGCAATGAATGATATCACATGATAAACATATCCTAAGAGGCAAATACAAACATATGATAAAATATAGTGCATAAATGAGCAAGTATAGGATGAAGTAAGTTAGAACTCCCTTTGAATCAACCTTGGTGAACTTCAATAATTTAATCAAATCAAGACGAAAGTTAGGGCTGGTTGGGATCACATCAGAAATAGTTAGCAGTAAAAATCAACAATTTAATTTACTCACTACATATCCATTGCACTGGTTAAATAATTGAACTATGATGATATCTTTGAATCATTTTCTAACCTTTTTCATTTTTGATAATATACCATACTCATGATTAAATATGCATATGATTCATGTATCTTACACAGATGAAAATGACAAGTCCAGAATATACAAGATGTCACAACTTAAATCAAAAGCTTCAATGACTTTCTGGACTTGAACTGCACAAGATTGCATAGTTAAAATTTGACTGTGATACGGACGTTGTATTTACTATTTGTTATTTACATAAAAGATTCTTTTATTTTAAAACATCTACATTAGATTGATATTATTTGAATGAAATTAAAAATATTAGCAAGATGTAGAAGCCCCCAAGATGCATAAAACCAAACCACAAAAGTATTTCTAGAGGCAACAATGAGCTGATAATGGGTCGGTTCAACTCCATTTGACAAATGAATGATTGAGCATAGATACACGAAAATGGGGATGGAAACATACCATTCTCTGCCTCTTTTCTAGCAGTTGTTTCTAGGCATTTTCTCTGTCATATTCTCCATTCTCCAAATGGCGTTGGTCTAGTCTAAGCCTAGAATCCGTGGGTGGGAGCTTCTCCTTAATCCGTGATCAAATACCCATGATCAGACAATGCTACAGAAAAAAATTAGACATGCATATGAGGAACATAAAAATGCTTTTGAGAAAGTAGTGCAACACATCATCTCTACGTGCAATCCTGGTGTTAGCTCATTTAACGTTATTGCAAATGATGTCAATTTGTAGCGACTCAGGTTAGAAGGTGGCTTGGAACCCTTCCATTGTAAGGAAACATTTCATGGATTGTAGTCCTTCGGCTTGCCACTCCCATCACCATCGATATAATACACGGTGTCATCCCATTTTCCAATTAATGTTGCAACCTTTTTACCTGAGAGGTCTTCAACAAAACCGTGGACCTAACAAATGTAAGACATGATAAACAATTACTACAGAAAATAAAACTTTCTAGGAAAAAGACAAACTAATAAGGACGTTAAGCAATCAAGCATGAACAATCAATTCTCCAGATAGGGAGAACAATAACCGAATTGGGTTGGGTGGTGACTAACCTGTTTCAACATGAAAGGTAAGTCATCTATGCCATGGAACTTTAATACAAACATTTGCATATATGCTTCAAGATAAACAGAAGCAACAACTTGGAAAGGTAAGTACTGCAAAGGCAAAGAGAAATAGTATTGAGTCACATTTGTTTCCTAAGTTCTCAAAAATCAATTTTGCAGTGTTCATAATCACTGTTTAGGGAACCTCTAATTAATAATTGTTACAACCTGAAACATTCCCTAGAACTACGGAAGATAACGGTGCTTTCCTCTTTCTTTTCTTTTAAACAAATCCTTTTTCTTTTGTAGTTCAAAAGCACTTCAAGATTTGTCATTTACTTCTGAAGGCTGTGTTATTTCATTTGTCAGAAGGTATGCAAAAGTGAAGCAATGAGTTGCAACTCCTAATGGCTGAGAAGTCAAAAACCATAATTTAATAAAGACCAAAAAAAGAAGTTAGCCATTTTGTCTAAGTTCATTATAAAGGTTGCACCTTTGCAATATGAAATCAACTGTACTGAGATCTTGAAGAGTAACACTAACCTTCTCAGAGAAGAAACGAACTCCTTTGTCAGGATAGTCTACTTCATAAGTTTCTCCTACCAAAGGATGAAGGGCTTATAGTGTCGAACTTCAGAAGAAGCATATGCAGATACAGAAAATGCTGCAACATTAAGAATACGTTGGAGACTGTTCCCCTGAAATATAATAGAAAACCCATCAGCTGCAACGCCGGGAGTGTTAGCGATGTCATAGAGGGTCAATCGAGATACGCTATTATTTGCAGGGATTTAAATAGAGATATGCTATCAAATACCGATCGTTATACAACAATACAAGTGTCATTTGAAACTGTTATTTTACAATCTAAATACCTGTAATGACCACAATAACACTTAATATTGTCGTAATCGCGAAAAACACAACGTAACTAAAACCGCAACTACAATTGCAATTCAAATCCCTCGTTATACGTCAAACATTTGTTTGATTTCAATCCTTAAGATTGAATTTGAAACCAACTTGGTTCTGAGTTGACCCATTGGCAAGTGACTTATTAGCTTCTCCAAAATATTCATTTATAGCTTTTCTTTCTTTGAAAAGTATTATCATGAAAAAATTGTCAACTGCCAATTCTAATATTCTACCATGTGTCTCATTTCCTTCTTATTACGGCATTCTTTTTAAAAGAAAAATCGAGTTAGATGTAATCATAAGATGGTTTATTCGTTTATTTTTTTCCCCTCAGGATTTCACTTTAAATAATTCGGATCGATCCGTTTCACATACTTGGTATTAGTGAGTGAGTCTTTCAGTGAAAATTTTATGTATGTACAAAACCTCAAATTCGAAACCTATTTAAACAATTTCAAACTACTTACCACTCAAACCGACTTGTTTGTCGTTTGTCCCCTTTTCTTTTAGAGATGATAGGAATGAGGTAACGGTGATAAAGACGAAAAAAAATTATAGATGCGGCATAATCAAAGGGCTGAGGTGGCGTTTGGTTCGCTGGAATGTTTATGAAGGAATTGGAATCTGTGAAGGAATTGGAATCTACCATAAATTGGAATCCATTCCATATTCTGTTTGGTTCGCAAACATGTAAGATGAATTTGATTTCAGTAATATAAAATGACAGGATTGCCTTTATTGTTTTTTTGCTTAATTTTAGTTTGTTTTATAAATTACATGTAGCAATATATTATAAAAATTTAAAAAATATTAAATTTTAATTTTATTGATTGATTATTCATTTCAATAAATTATAAAAATCATGCTAATAAACATCATAAGTTAAAATCATCCCAATTAGGGATGACCATGGGTCGGGTTGGGTTTTTGGTCTACCCGACCCGAGAACAAGGGAATCTCCATCTGAGACCAGACCCGACCAAAATAAAGTTTCACCCGACCTGACCCGAATATATGAATTAGAAACCCGACCGACCCGAAATAATAAAAAAATTATTTTTATGCAATAAAAACAGTGACTTAATTGAAAAAAATATATATAGAGAGGGGTATTATTGTAATTATTCCTAAATATATAAGGTAAAATTATATATTTTTTGGGTCGGGTTGGGTCGGGTATTTTTCACCCTAAATCCGACCCCGACCCGAATATCACACTTAAAAAAACCGGAACTAACCCGTCCAAAATAAAGTTTCACTCAAACCAACCCGAATATACGAATTAGAAACCCTACCCGAAATAATAAAAAAATTATTTTTATTCAATAAAAATAATGACTTAATTGAAAAAAAATATATATAGAGGGGTATTATTGTAATTATTCCTAAATATATAATGTAAAATTATATATATTTTCTGGTCGGGTCGGGTCGGGCATTTTTCACCCTAAACCCGAACTCGACCCGACCCGAATATCGCACTTAAAAAAATCGACCCGACGCGACCAAAATAAAGTTTCACCCGACCCGACCCAACCCGAATATATGAATTAGAAACCCGACCCGACCCGAATATATAAATTAGAAACCCGACCCGAAACAATAAAAAAATATTTTTATTCAATATATGAATAAGTTACCAAAAGATTGATGAGAGTAGTATGGTCAAATTTCAATTCCCTCCAACAAGGAAATTAAATTCCATCGTAGAATGGATGGAATTCACTTTCCTTCATTTGATGAAAAGTTGAAGTCATGAGGGATTCCAATTCCCTTTTAAAACTTTAACCAAACATGGGAAAGTGATAGAATTGGATTCTAATTCCCCCTAATTCTAAGGGATTCATGCGAACCAAACGCCACCTGAGAATTTTTGTTCATTAAAATGCTACATAATTTAATTCTTTTACCTATAACTTGTATAGCCCTATTATTAATATAATTTGAAAAACGAATTTAGTATTTTTCAAAAAAAATATTTTATGAATCGATCAAGTGAATTCAGTTGTTAAAGGAAGTGTTGTTCTCTTTAGAAGTCTTAGAATCAAGCAATTGCGTCAGCGGGTGTGATATGTTGTCAATGACTAAGAAAGATCTTGAACAGATACTACCTTGTAATCACCTTAGATTAGGGGTGATTAATGAATTGAGCAGCTCGGGCTTGACTTGGTCAATGCTCGACTCAGGTGACACAACTCGAACTCGAACTAGAGACCTTAATTAGGGGTGTAAATGAACAGAGCGTTAGGTGAATTGTTCATGAACCGTTCGGTGGACTAAGGATTTTCGTTAAGCTAAATAAAAAAGTATAAACAAAATTTTTTATGTCCGTTTAATAAACGAACGAACATGAACAGAGGCATGTTCGGTTCATTTATGTTCACGAACAAGCTCGTTTATGAGCTTGTTCATTTATATGCATGAACAAACTCGTTTACTGGTTTTCCTTTTCCTTTTATTTTTTTATATTTTAAACATTGGTGAAGATAAAGACTAAATTGAACACATGATAAAAGTTGAAATTTAAAATTATGGATTTTAAGGAGTTTAATCACTAGTGATGTAATTTTATCATTTTTCTTTAGCTTTGTAAATGAAAGAGTAAAACTAAAAATTGAACGTATAAACAAACAACAAATGAATATTAAACGAAAACTAAATGAATACTAAACGAGCATATTCTTGAACACTAAATGAACACGTTCGTGAACACTAAATGAACACGTTCGTGAACATATAAATGAACATGTTCTCAAATATTAAACGAACATGTTTGCGAACAATAAAAAAATGAACACGAATATCTTAAAAAATAAATAAACAAACACGAACCAGACACGAACACGAATACCTTAAAAAAATAAACAAACAAACACGAACATAACATTGTTTGTTCAAGCTCGATTCATTTACACCACTAATCTTTATGAGTTGAGTCGAACAAGGTCCAACTCGACTCGATAAATTCATGAGCAGTTTGTTAATTTTTTTTATAATTTTTAATAGTCACCTTAAAAAATTATCTCATTAAAAATATAAATAATAATTACTAATTTGGTAATAGATAATATGAAAGATGATAAATAACTAATTAATAATTACTACTAATTTATAAATTTGCTAATGTACTAATTTACTAGTTTAGTGTATTTATGGATTGTTACTTTAGAGTTCAGATTTTGAAATTGCTTCACACATTCTTTTCATAATTTTTTTGGTTAAATTTGTTAATTTATGTTTATATTAAGCTTTTTATAGTATTAGTAGATTTTACTTATAGTTAAAAAACAATGTAAAAAATCTGGTGAGCTTAACCAGCAAAGATTCAAGCAACAAGTTTTTTTTATTAAGCACGAGTTGAACAAAATTTTAACGAGTAATGAGTCGAGTTGAGCAACAATCTTTTTAACGAGCACGCGTCGAGCACTGCCCAACTCACAATCAACTCGCCTGATAATCACCCTTATCTTACATTATTCAAAAATAATTATTTTAATACAACAATATATATATATATATATATATATATATATAAACCTTAAATCATAAATTCTAATTCCCTAATCTTTAAACTCAAGGTAAAGGAAAAAAATATCATGTAGAGTTTCAAAATTGAATTTTAAATTTTCCGATAGTAATTTTATTATTATTTGAACCTATAATTTTATAATTTTTAGACTGACATTATTTTATTATTTTAAATAAATAAAATATAATTTATGGTTTCCAGAGAGATTTTAGAATAAGTTTCAAAGGTGAGAGCTTATAGTTTTACTTTTATAAATTATATATATTACGTGAGATTGCATTATGTCATATTATTTTTATTTTAGATAATATTTGAATTTGAATTTATATATTTATTTAATTTTTTTAATATTTTTATCCAGACTCCAAATTAAAGACCATAACTTATCAAATCTCTGAATTTGTAAAATGTGTGAATTTACTAAGCTAATTTTCTGTTT